CCGTCATAGATTCTTGGAGCCAGAAAGGCCCTTTAGAGATCATCCTTCAAACCCTACAATGTATACACAGGGGGAAATGAGAGACCCGGCAAGGCGAAGAAATGTGCCCAAGAGTACCATGCACATGCGTGGCTCAGCCACTCTGGCAGGGCCTCAGTGCTGTCAGCTCCTCTCACTGCCTCAAAGACAATCCCACTCGGTTCCAGCTGTTCCCTGCAGGGGATCTTTGGGATAATAAAGTCAAAGACATGGGGATCAAAGAAAGCCTCAGTGAGACAGTCTGCCAATGGCCCAGGGGTGTGGTTTTCATCAAGGGGGTACTGCCTCTTCTAGGGGTGGTTGACATCCTGCCACGCTGAGCAAAGAATTTCCCACCCAAATGCCATGGCTGAGGTCACCACCCTCCTTGTTGACTTCCAAGTGTGTTATGTGGGGTGAAAATGGGGATGCCCCTACCCTTTACCCATTATCCCCATCCTTCCACCAGCAGGATTCTCCCCTTCCTTCCCCGTCCCTGTCCTCGGGTTGTTGGGGATGAACACGCAGGTGCCCCTTGGCTTCCAGCGAGGAGCTGCTATTGCAGGACCTTCCTGTCTGGTGACCCAGTGAAACCTCTGCTCACACTGTGAACAGACCTCATGGCTGCCTCCTTCTGTGGTAATGCAGTAGTGGACCTGTGCCTGGCCGTGTGTATGTGTGTGTGTGTGTGTGTGTGTGTGTGTGTGTGTGTGTGTGTGTGGTTTGTGTGATTATATATAGCTATATACTCATTTACTATGTTTATGTCTTTATGTAGATGCATTTTCTGTCTTATGAATGTAAATGCATGCATTTTCTGCAAATTTCTATGTTGTGCATCTGTGTTTGTGTAGCAGGAGTGAGTGCTGGCTCTGTGTGTTTGACCATGTCGCCATCCACTCTGTCATATCAGTGTGTTACAGTTTAGTCATTTATTTAATAGAAAGAGAGTGGCTTATCTTGAGGACTACAGGAGGTGAGCAAGAGGAAAAAAAAAATAAAAAAAAAGCCCAGTCCTGTGTTGCTCTATTTTAAAAACCGCTCTGTGTTGTTATGGCAGCTAATTTTCCTTAAATGATTTAAGAAAACGGATCTGCCTAAAAGAACTGCAGCCAAGTTGTTATAGCAACACAGGCCTTTCTCCTCTAGGAAAAGGGGGGCCATCACCCCAGAGCGTAGAAACTTCTCTAAACAGCAACCCATGGGCTCTGGGGGACTCGGAGCACAGGAAGGGCAGGGGGGACCCATTCACCTCCCAGGAAGTTCAAGGGGCTCTTAGCAATAGCCCCGGCCACACTCCAGTTCAGGTCTCCTTGTCCTTCACCTTGACTCTTGCAGTAGGCACCTAGAGATCTCTCTTCTCCGAATTCCTCTTAGCTCCTCTGACCTACTGTCTCCACCGTAGCCTCAGTAATTCTCTAAAGCACACACTCTACTCATATTCATCTGTGCATTCGGCGTTCAGCATATTATTCTCCATGGAGCCACGTTCTGTGCTATGTCCTGGGTGTGAATAGGTTGTGTGCTTAACTGGCATGTCAGGAACCTTGGCCTCTACCCCACAGGTAATGGGGAGACAGTGAAAGCTGTTAAGCATGAGAGGGAGACTCAGTTGGATTTAAATTTTCGAATGACTCTAGAGCAGGTTCTCAACCTGTGGGTCGCGACCCCTCTGGCGGTCGAACGACCCTTTCACAGGCGTGACCTAAGACCATCCTGCATATCAGATATTTACATTACAATTCATAGCAGTAGCAACATTACAGTTATGAGGTAGCAACGAAAGTAATTTTATGGTTGGGTCACAACATGAGGAACTGTATTTAAAGGGCCAGAAGGTTGAGAACCACTGCTCTAGAGTATCTAGTTTGGGATAGTGAACGGACGGCAATACTATTCATTGATCTCTCCCTTGCTCCGCTGTGTTAGACGGCTCTCCATGGACTTATATTGATTCCAAGATTGAGAAAGGGTGTGTGCTGGAATTTTCCTGACAAGTGGTGTTTTGTTTCATTGCCTTGATTTTTTTTTTTTGCAATCATGATATTTAACTCAATTAAAACTCAATTTAAAAGAGGGCCTAGGACTTTGATTTTATTGCAGTGGTTCTCAACTTTGGCTGCACATTAGAATCACCTGGGAATCTTTTTAAAATCCTGATTTCTGGGCCGTATCAGTTGGCTGGAGCATCATCTGGTGCACCAAATGTCGCTGTTTCGATTCCAGGTCAGGGCACATGCACAGGTTTTGGGTTCAATCCCCAGTAGGGGGCGTGCAGGAGGCAACTGATGGGTGTTTCTCTCTTACACGGAAAGATTGAGGCTGTGAGTGTAAAGGCCAGAAGCTGTCCTGGCAGCTCAGACAGCTCTGGGCAGAGTGATTATGATGACTATGTGACAGTCAAGGTCAGGAGAGAAATGCATTTAAAAGTAATAGGGCAGACCCTTGGGGCACTGCAGTGTTTGCAACTGGACACAATGACTCTTTAGTCAAATGTTAATTTGAATCAGATCCAAATAATGTTTTGGAGGATCTGCTACTTCAATCGTACTGTACTAGGTGCTTTCACATAGCTTTTAAGTAGAGAGGCCATAATTTATCATCCAAACCGGGAGACTTATAAGAGGGAAGGGAACAGTATTAACAAATACTCTAGGACAACAGGCATAAGCCACAACTGTCCCCAGGCAAGCTGAAATGTATAACCATTCTACTTGTAGATCATAGTTGGTGCTTTTTTGGGTAATAAGACACAATTTATAAATCTCTAGTTATGGGTATTTACTTGTTTAATATCTATTTCCCCACTAGGGTTTCACTCACTATTAGAATCACAATGACTGATGTATAGAAATTCCTTGGTAAGTATTTGTGGAAAGAATGGGGTAAAAGACAGGACAAGGACAGGGGGAGACAGAAGAGACCAAGGGAGATGGGGTCCTGTTCTAGGCCAGGTCCTTGCTTGGGGCATAAAGGAGCCAACTTTCAGGAAGAGTACAGACTACACAATGAGCTCAGCATCCAAGTGTGTTTATAAGACCAACCAGCTGACAATCAACCTATTCGTGGCACCAGGAGTGCCCTGACAGCTCTGCAGCTCAGTCCTGTCTCATCTGTGTTCTGTGACATGGGTGAGTGCCTGGTAGATTGTGAGAAAATCAATGAATTCTGATTTGTGATGGCAACGGCAGGCTGAAGCCTAACCGCCTTCCTTTGATTCTTCCCCCATGCCTTGGCTCCCTGGTTCTCCCCTCCAGGATTCTACTAAAACACCCCTTTGTTCCTATTATCAACCAGGTCAGAAAATGGGTCGGAGCTGTGCTCTTTAAGAAGAGGTGGCAGGGGAAGAAAGCACTGTGATTCTATCAGGGAAACTGCAGTTAACCCAGAGGTCAGGTGGAGGTGGGCAGGTGGGAACCCAGGGGACCATAAGCACTTCCTGGGAAACTTAGAAGCAGCTTCTGTCTGCCAAGAAAGCTGGTCAGGATGGCATCGAGGGTCCAGGGGAAGAACAGTGCTTGTGAGCAGTTAACGCCTTTTGTAGACAGGGAAGGAGGAGCTGGAGAAGGAAGCAAGTTTAGGAAAGCAATGGCTACACAGGCACTGGCTAAAAAAGATTTAGGAAAGCCAAGTTCATAGGAGGATCAAGATAACAATCACGTGAATTACATTGCACCTAAGGATTTACTTTTTCATTAACCTTTGCTCTAATATGCATTTGTTTTAAGTACACATTTTTGGCTCCTTCATCTCATGAGACCTCCACAATTGAGCCCAGTATTTGTGAGGGCTGCTCAATATAATGCTGCTTTTTAATTTAGGATATTTTTGTGGACATCTTCAAAGAGTTACACTGATGCATCTCTGAAATACCCCAACTCTGGGACTCTTGCTGTCTTAGCAATAACTATTTGTCACCTGGTGGCAGCCAGGGGCTCATAAAATTAGTCATCATCTGTAATCTCATTACAGCGTCTTCCAAACAACCGAGTCTCCTCCATGCGCCATTTTTACCAGTGTCACTTAGCTTCAAGTTGAACACTTTCAGTAAGGCAAAGTTCACAGTGCACATACCCATTTTATCATCAGCCATCTCTAATTATTAAAAAGTTCTATTTTTCTTTAGGCCTTCTTCTGCCTTTGGCTTCCACCTAAAGGATGTCTGTCCTATTCTCTCCCACAGCCCCTCAGAAGCATAATGATCATGGTCTGCCTCCTTTCTCTAAGTTGTGAAACCTTAATGTATTCTATTTCTTACAAAATCTTTCCCCGATGAGCAAACTCAGTAGGGACGCCCACTGTCCCCCTTCTCTCTGGAAGAGCTGGCGCTCTGGAACAAGGTCCAGAGCACCATGCTATAATCTCTTATCTGGTTTCCTTGTTTTAGGTGGGAACAGGTTCACCATGCCACCACATTCCCAAGTCCAACCAGGAGCTTCCAGCAGGGTCGTCCTGTCCTTACAGAACCTTGCCTCTTGGGTCAGGTTTGACTTGCCTAGAGATGGACATGTCCTCCAAGCTAGGCCCTTCATAGTCTTTTTGGAACTGGGTCTAGAAAATGAGAGTGGGCCCCTCTACGGTGGTGGGAGCCACTGGGTGTGACGTTTGCCACATGCTCCCTACAGGTGGAGGAGGCTAGCCTACAGCCTTCAATTATATGAGATACTCCAGTACTCTTCTAGTGAACAATCCATTAAGCTAGTTCAAGTTGAATTTCTTTGGCTTGTAACCAAAGAGCCCTGGGAAAGGTGGATCTGCTCCAGTATATTTCCTTCATCCCGTGAGGCCCCCACACCTGAGGCCAGTGTTTGTGAGCACTTGGGTTTGTCCAATGCAGAGGAGACACGAGCAGACCTGGTTCCTCCCTGGTTTTGACCCTGTATTCCCAATTTGCAATTCCCAGTGAACTTCCCCAGTACAACACTGCTCTTTCCTGGGTCAAGCAGTAAGACCAGCAGCTGCTGAGGGGTTCAGTTACTTACTGGGTCATTGTACATCTGGATGATGAGCTGTTTTACCCCATACAGGGTAGGGTGGGCCCATGGAGAGGGATCCAGCCAGTGACGGTTCAGGTCAAACCCCATCAGAGAGCACCTAGGCAATCCCCAAAGGCAGAGTCAGTACAAACAGAACAAGTCAAGCTGCTCACTTATCAAAACATAGTTAAGAGTAGCAACAGTCTTGTCACTCACCTGGCATTTATTCTTTTGCCAGAGACATTTTAAAGCATTTCACATGTATTAATTAATTCAGTGCTTTCAATGAGCCTGTGGAGTCACTACAAGGATAATTAACACTTTACATAAGAAGAAACTGAGTCACAGAGAGATTCAAAATATTTCTGTGGAGGCCTTACTTCTGGGCCCATGCCCTGAGGCCACAGATACATGCACGTCTCCTAGATAGGGCAGCAGAAAACATGCTCAGGCCAAAGCCACCAGCATCCCCCTATTCCTTTCTCATATCCAGTTAATTTAGTCCTTTGTCTCTACTTTCAAAATATTTTGGGTTCCAAATATATATTCAGAACCCAACACCTTTGCATCATCTCCACTGATATCACCGTGAGTTTGGACCAAGGTCCAGAGTATCCTACATAATAAAAGGCTAATATGCAAATAGACCGAACAGCGGAACAACTGGTCACTATGATGTGCGCTGACCACCAGGGGGCATGTGCAGAACTTGGTGGGTGTTGGCCACGAAGGGATGGTGGAACAGGTGAGAAGGGGCACCAGACCAAGGGGGCTCCAGTTGCTGTCATCAGGGAAAGCCTTTGGTGGTTACTGAAAATGCTTTGCTCTTGGGTGCCGCAGTCCTCTCCAGTGCTTGCAGCTGCTGCCAGCAGACAGGGGGCTTGGCGGGGGGGGGATGTTGGGATGAGGGGGTGTGGCAGGAGGGGCTGGGCTGGGGTGCAGAGGATGAGCTGAGACCTGCCCCTGTGTCTACCGCAGCTTCATGGCCCACAGTTCCTTTCAAGGTGCATGAATTTGTGCACTGGGCCCCTAGTTATGCTATAATCTGTTATCTGGTTTCCTTGTTTCCACACCTGCATCCTCCCACTTCACCTTTAACACTATAGCCCTCCCCACACCCCACACCCCATTTTCCACACAACAGCCAGTGTATCCTCTTAAGACATAAGTCAGATTGTGTCCCTTCTCCTTGTGGTCCATCCTGCTGACCTCTCTGACCTCAGCTCCTACCAGCCCCTCTTGCTGCCTCTACACCAGACACTGCCTCCTCTCTGCTCCTCCAACACCTCAGGTTCCTCCTGACTCAGGGGGGTTATACAGGCTGATCTTCTTCCTAGAATTCTCTGCCTCCAGATAGCTGAGTGACTGACTCATCCTCATTTATTTCAAATATTTGACTGAATGTCATCTGCTCAGAGTAGGCTACCTGCCCACCTTCTCCATACCCTCCCTTGGGCATTAAAGACCTTCACTAAGTCAAATGTGATCGTGACTTCTGGTTCTCCATCTCTTTCTCTCTTCTTCCTTTTCTTACCCCAGATCTGCTCAAAGCCCTGCTCATACTTGGGAGAAGTACCTCCTCCAGGCCTCTGTCCGTAGGCCTCCATCTGCTGGGCCTGTGCACATTGCTGGCACTGCCCAGGCCAACACAAGATCAGGTACAACTTCCAGAAACCCTGTGCTTGCTCCCAAGTCAAATCACCACTCTCCTCCTCTCTAATGCAGCCTCCTCCCGTCCTGAGAATGTCTCCCACCCTCATCCATCTTGCTTTTCTGATCAAGATTCGCCTATGGCTTTCCATTACCTGTGCAATAAAATTCTGCTTTTTGCAGGTTTTTAACCACAGTCAAATAGATAATGGCCATTATCTCTTTCTCTGCCCAAATTGGCCCCCTTTTTCTTATCTGCCCCTCTGTCCCACTATTTTACATCCCCATCTTATTTTCCAAGCTCCTCTATTTCCCTAAGCAATACAATTTTATCCCCTCTCAGATTACTACATTTGCATCCGCACTTACCACCCTATTCAGAAAAATAAAGGACTCCACTGGGGACCTACCTCTCCTTCGAGATGGTTGGAGTGGAGATGGTGATTAAATAATAATGACTTCCTCCTATTACTTAAAATCAGCATGCTGGGGACCCTATCCTATATAATAAAAGCCTAATATGCAAACTGTCCCCTCGACCTGGAGTTAGACCAGGGGGCGGGGCCAGGCCACCAATCACCTGCGGCCCCTCCCCCCAGTTAGCCCCACCTTCCATCAGCCTCACCACCGCGATGGGGGGCAGGACCGGCCAGTCAACCTCCCAGCTCCCCCAAGCCAGCCCTGGCCCAATCAGCACCCCTCATTGGAGGCAGGGCTGGCCAACCTCCCACATCCCCTCCCCACTGCTGGCCCAGCCCAATGGCCCCAATTGGGTCGGGGCAGCCAGACCCCTACCCATGCATGAATTCATGCACTGGGCCTCTAGTGGTAGATAACCAATGTTTTGTGGGGACCAATGGGGAAAGGCTTCATTGATGAAAAGCCATTTGAGTTGGGCCATGAATTTTTCCAGGTGTTGGGGACAGAAGGAACAGTGTAAGTAAGGAAAGGAACTGTGAAGTCCCCTAGGATGTTGGGGGAAAGGTGGATAGTTTGGTTTGACTGAATCATAGAGTACATAGTGAGTGGGTGGTGATGGTGAAGCTGTGGAGGGAGATGAGGGTGAAGGGCCTTGAAAGCCTGAGAGGGAGTTTTGTTATTTTGTCTTTGTATCACTGTGTTTAGACCAACCAAACACTGGTGTTGCCTTCTCATTGACTGCAGTGAAAACAGGATAGTCCTGCATACAGGCTACAACATCACCATCAAGGGAACACAATGGAGCATCTACTGACATTACTTTGCCCCAAGAGTTAAGTACTTTACTAGTACAAAATACTTTCTCTAAGTTGATGTTATGGAGTAGATTCTACTATTACACCCATTTTGCAGATGTGGAAACTGAAGCACAGAGAGGTTATAAACAACTTGCTTGAGAAAAAGTGATGTCAGGATTGTTGCACAAGCAGTTGGACAGTCCCTCCCTCAGGGTGCATAGTCCAACGGGAGAAAGAAGATATAATCACAGGCTCATGTCCATTTATAATTCAGGACAATGTTGTGAGGATTAAATGACATAACACATGTAACCAACTTAATTTAGCACAGATTCTGGCACATAATAGCAGCTCAAAATGTTATATTGCTGTAGAGTTTTATGCTTCATCCTTTATGACTAATAACCTTATAGTCCATTAGGGGCTTGAGTGGACAACGGTCAGCAATGGTCAGGTTGACATCCCATTTTTTCCTCAGTCTGGGAGCTGAGTTCATTCTGCCGTCCCAACATAGGAGGCATTTGTCCATTTTCTTTGGGGAATACCTGGCATGAAACCTTGTGATTAGATGGAGTGTGTTTGTGGTGGGGTGGGAGGGTTCTCTTTCCATGGTTCCGAGATGATGAGTCTTCTCCCACCACAGAGACATATGGGCCGATGCTCCCTTGTTGTGACCTGGCAATCATGTGCAGATCAGCTGCACCGGCTCTGTTAGGAACGTCTTCCTTCCTGGTAGCTGAACTTTGTCTTCCAGGGACTTTCTCCCTCCGTTTTTGCCTCGTGTGAGTGGAGTCACCCAGAACAAGGAGGCTACACTGTGAAGACCAGGGGCTCTGGGAGTCACAGTGAGATTTAAGTTTGGGCTATATTCTTTACCGGCTATGTGACCATTTTTAATTTTCTTTTTTAAAAACTTCTCTGGGTTTCTGTTTTATCATATGTATAATTAGTATAACAACCTTGACCTTCTGGATTGTGTACATGAATGAATGTAAATAGCCTGGCAGGATCCTCAGCAGAGAGAATATTGACTAAACAGTGGCCAGTGGTGGGGACTGCGGGCTTGTTGAAATTGTCATCTCCTAACTATCATCTCCTGCAGGGAGGCTTCTTGACTTACTCTCTGTAATGTGATAGGTGCTTCCCTCTGCTCCTATAGTATCCATCGCTCACCCCCTCAGAGTGTATACAGCACAAGATGCAGTCATGGCAGAGTCTGTCTTCCCCATGGGCCCATGATTTCCTTCAGGGCAAGGACAATGCCATGTTCATGCTTGGATTTCCATGCCTGACAAAGAACCAGAACTGTGGTAGACACTGAAGACGTTGTTGAGTGAACATTTCAGTTTTTTACAAGCATTTTCCTGTATCATATGATATATTCCCACAGTCACCAGCCACACAGGTGGGCTCCGTTAACAGGCAGAAGTGTTAGGAGCCAGAGATGGTGAGGCATTCTTCCAAGGTCACTTCACCACTCCTCCACACACCCAAGCCAGAATCCAGGTGTCCTGGCCCTGTGCCCTGTGGTCTGTCCATGTGGCCATGTTGCTTCCAGGAAGCCTCTTTGATTAAAAAAAGTGACATTCAAAACTGAAGGAAGAGTGTTCAGGTGAGAGATCCTGAAAGACTAGCCCCTTGATCCAACCATCTGCTGAAAATAGCGTGGCTGCCAATTCAAAGGCAACATGAACCTTCAGAGGATCCCGGAGTCTTTCAGAAGTGTGAGCATTTTTGAAACTCTTTAATGGGTAGTATCAGCTCTGGATGCTTTTTGAACTGACTTTTAAAGAATGCTTCCAATGGCAACCCATCTATCAGTAGGTGGGTTGCTGGGCGTCTTGTTCCAGCATCAAGAAGGGTTCAGCCCCAGGACACCATGCTTTTTATTCACACAACTTGTCCTGAGGCGAGGCAGAGGGTCAGGGTTTGGTACGGAGTCCATTGTCAGAATGGGGGAATTAGCCTACGGCTGTTCAGGTGTTTGGCCAGTAGGAGGCAATAACATGTAGATTAAAATGCCCTTTAACTGTCTGGCAGCCTCAATCAGTTTCCTATTCAGGTTTGGGGAAATGCCTTTAGACATTCCCAACAGGTGACTACATGTGTGACTCAACCCTGCTGAGTCCCCAAGTCTCATCAACCTTTTGATGAAACTCTTGAAATTATGACATGCTGGAATTGGTTCCCGGCAGTGGGTATTTACTAAACAAAACATCTTAGTAATGATGTAGGAGCCCTGGCTTAGGGG